GGGAGACGCTGTGTTTCAGTGCGAAAGCAAAAGCACTTTATTTGGCCTTCCGGAAGTAGATGCAATTAGGAATCATTGGTTAAGATTTATTTACAACAGAACAGCACAACCCAGATATTCGAATTTGTGCAACGCATTTTATGGACGACAGTTTTTTTAACCTAGAAGAGTAGGCTGGCTGTGCACAAAGGCCATTTCTAAATAAAAAAAGAGGGTCAATTCCAACTTTGCTATGACAATCTGGCGCTTCTGAATCAGCGACTGTAAGTATGTTTTCTTATTAGTTTAAGCCTTTGCTATTGACTGATCAAATGCGGAGTTTATCGCAGCGCAGAGTAACGTGTCGTGTGTGTGTGTGTGTGTGTGTGTAAGGGGAACAGGGTCACATCACAGGAGAGTGAACTGCCTGTCAGAAATCATAGCATGTCAGCTGTCTTATCCGCGGCTTGTGTACTGCATCATCACTGTGTCTGTCACGCGACTCTGTTGCCCTTTCGGGCTTGAACTGATGGTAAAACTAACAACATTATTAACTGTCTTGATATTTACTTTGAAAGCGGAAGCTGCGATTATGGTAAAGGCCTTACATTTCCGACGCGTGCTTGTGGTGTTCGGCCAATCACAATGCACTGGGTCAGCTGGCCAATCAGAGCAGACTGCGCTTGTCGGAAGGAGGGACTTTGTAGAAAACGAAGTGTTTGAGAGAGGCGGGGCATAGAGGACCTACGATAATGTACAGTATTTGAAAAATAATGTGTTTTTTGAACATTAAAGCATGTCAACATATTCTGTTACACCAAATAATGATCTTTAAAATAGCATCATATGACCCCTTTAAGATCTACAGTATGTGTGGAAAAAATAAAGCAATAAATAAAAGTCTATGGGACAAGACATCCCAGGAGGTTTAAAAATGAAACCCATTGAAATATGAAGAAATATGATGGACATACCCAAGAAATATGAAGCTCTCTTTTTTGTTAGCATGCTTACTTTTATATATAACAACTACAAATATATAATATATAACTTCTGCTCATAAATTTTGGTATCAACAATTTTTTTATTTTTTTTAAATAAATGAATTACTTAAGTTAATACTTTTATTCAGGAATAAATTGGTCATAAGTAACACTAACAACATTTATAATGGCATGTTAAGATTTTTTTTTAAACTTTTTATACATCAAAAAATCCTGAAAAAAATGTATCACAGTTTCCACAAAAATATGAAGCAGCACAACTGTTTTAACATCGATAATAACAATAATAATAAACCTTTCTTGAGCAGCAAATCATCATATTAGATTGATTTCTGAAGGATTGAGTAATGATACAGAAAATTCAGCTTTGATCACAGGAATAAATGACATTTTCTTTAAACATTTTCAACTGTAATTGTTTTGACTGAATTTTTTAACAAATAAAAAATCTTACCAACTTCAATTAACTAGTACGTTTTTATAACTACAAATATATAATATATAACTTCTGCTCATAAATTTTGGTATCAACAATTTTTTATTTTTTTTTAAATAAATGAATTACTTAAGTTAATACTTTTATTCAGGAATAAATTGGTCATAAGTAACACTAACAACATTTATAATGGCATGTTAAGATTTTTATTTAAACTTTTTATACATCAAAAAATCCTGAAAAAAATGTATCACAGTTTCCACAAAAATATGAAGCAGCACAACTGTTTTAACATCGATAATAACAATAATAATAAACCTTTCTTGAGCAGCAAATCATCATATTAGATTGATTTCTGAAGGATTGAGTAATGATACAGAAAATTCAGCTTTGATCACAGGAATAAATGACATTTTCTTTAAACATTTTCAACTGTAATTGTTTTGACTGAATTTTTTAACAAATAAAAAATCTTACCAACTTCAATTAACTAGTACGTTTTTATTAACACGTAAAATGTTGATGTATTATGGCTATATTTTTTTGTAGAATATGCTCTACTACTAAACCCAGAACATGTTTTACTTTAAGAACACTGAAAAAATACTTGGCCTACTTCTATTTCAAGGTATGCAAAGCAAGCACTACTGTGCTAGACATGTTCTTGTGTGAAAAACTGTGTTTTTTTCAATATGTTCAAAACTTTCAAGGTGTGTCGTAAAACCTAGTAAGTTACCTACAAGGCATTTCCAGGCATCACAGTCATGTCTTTGATGCCCCAAATCCCTGTTTAGGTTAAAAGACCACTATTTTTTGAGACACGATATTTGTGTCTGCAGTCAATATAGTAAACCCTTCAAAGAGAGACTCTTGTAAGCTGTTACCATTGTCTTGTTTCCGCCTCTCCTCCAGCGGAGACACGTTCACCAGCTGTAGCACTAGAGGGCGCCGAGTCACTATTCCTGAACCTCGGGGCAGAAAGTCTTGTCCAACCAAACTCTCCAGTACTGAACTCTTTCCACTGCTCTGGAGATTCATTTGAAGAGACCAACAGAAATACTGGAACTGTGTTTACATGTAGGCCTACTTCATGACGTTGATGATTTGTTATCACAAAACAAAGATCACGCCTGAAGCATTCTAATACACTGCATATAGACTCAAATCCACACCTTGCATGTTTTTCATGACTCACCTGTGACCCCACGACTACGATCTGAGGAAGCTGGATGATCTCGGCTCCAACTGTGAGGAAAACCTCCTGCAGTCTGTTAATGATGGGAATCAGAGTTTCCATCTATGAAAGGGGGGATGATGCACTGGGTGTAAAGCATTCATCAATAGAGATACATACATATTTCCTGATTTTTCACAGCAAGAACTATTTCATCGTTTAAAATATAATGATATTTTGTATGATCACTCATAAAATCGTGCCCAAGTTTATACTAGAAGCAAGTACAAATATCTGCCAATGTGGTTTATTTTTCCACTGGCAGATTTGTTAATGTTTAAATCATAAACTCTCTCACACACACACACACACATATATATATATATATCTTACGCCTCACATGTAAAATTATTTGTATTGTCAAATCTAATAATTATTTTACATGTGAAGTGTGTGTATATATATATATATATATATATATATATGTGTGTGTGTGTGTGTGTGTGTGTGTGTGTGTGTGTTTATGTGTGTGTACCTGGTATTTATCACGTTATGGGGACCAATTAAGGATAGTAATACTAGTCAATTTTGACCTTGTGGGGACATTTTTGCTGTGTACGTGTACGTGTCTGTGTGCGTGTACGTGTGTGTGTGTGTGTCTGTGTCTGTGTCTGTGTGTGTGTCTGTGTTGCACAAATGACCCATTCGTGCAACAAAATTAGACTAATTTGGTAATTAATTTGCAGTTATATTGAATATTTCACGGCGGACATCAGCCCTGCAGGGTGTGCTGCTGCCTGCAGAACAACAGGAGAAACCATATAAACATTAGCTGAACGGGCTACATACCTCCCGTAATGCGCTGTGTCGAGCAGTGGCTACAGAGTTACACAATCAGAGCGTTATAGCGCGCACTGTCATGCTGGAAATATGGAAAACACAACGTGCAGTCACGGAAGGACCGACATGTTTCGCTTTTCTGCGCCCTTACAGCAGGCTGCCAAAGACGGATCCGGCGTCGCCTACAAATAATCTGATTGGCTAATGCAGTGTTGACGCTAGAGCTTATTTTCAGCTCATTGGATAAAAGACCTATCAATCATATCGTGTCATGGCCGCTTCTCCACGCCCCTTTCCAACATCAGGACCCCTACACTATTTCATAGGTGGGCTTCAGTGTCACAGTAGCGTTAGGATATCGGTCATTATGGAATTACGAGAAAGGAAAAAAAAACATTTGAAAAAACATTACATCAAAAAGGGTTCGAAATGCGTTGAATCTATTAGGATGTTTAAAATCACATGACACGAGTTAGGGAAGTCGGCTTGGAGAGGTATTGAGGAAGTGTGGATGAGTCAGAATTTAGACACAAATGATCAAACTGTGCAAATCACATGACATGGGAGGGACGAGGACCCCCAGGCAAAAACAGCACAGGAAGAGCCTCTCCCTGTCCTGTTTCCCCCCGATTAAACTTATCATACATGCGCTTTCAGAAAAGTTTGAGTTGTATAATTACATTAAGTTCACTCGTTTAATTCTTTAGTAGTGCATGCATGCCCATATGGGCTATGCATAATTTGAATGTGGCTGGAAAAGTTGTTTTTATATATAATGATTTCGTTCTGTTGGCTTGTATGTTTCATCCATAAAGCGATATTAGAAATCAAATGTAGAACACTGTATAAACTAACCGCTGCTAAGTGGAGGACTCGTTGAATTCATTTCCTCCTCCTCGCCATCTTGCAGAGGGAGGGCTTTTCAGCGATTCATTTGAGTGAATCGGTTCGTCCGGACGGCTCATTTAAATTCAAACGGTTCAGAAACGGATTCACTTATTGCTCAAAGGGGTTCTAAGACTGTACGTGGCATTTTGTAGTACAGTACATTTTAGTCAAATATTATTGTTTGTTGTGTTGGTAAACACTCTACCATGTCACCCACCTCACTGCTGTTGTTTGTTCTTCTGCCTAAAGTCTCTATACTGTAGACCGATTTGAATCTCCTTGCGAGTCGGTTCGAATGACTCACTCAAGAGAACTCGTGATTCGCTCGTGATTCGAGCGTCAATGTTTTGCGTCAGTCCCCTTGTGACTCCACACACAGTGCTGCTCTGCTCTGCTCTGCTCTGATCTGCTCTGATCTGCTCTGCTCTGCTCTGCTCGGAAGAAACACATAATACCCCGCAACAGCTGATGTGCATCTGGATCAGAAGAAGCACTGGGTGACTTCTGTGGACGATTCGGACGCGCAGCGAATATCAAAACAGCTGTAAAGAGGTGAAGGTAAACTGTCTGACGGTGTGTTTTGCTCACGAAAGCTGATTGGTGTATAGAGTATTATAGTATTATAGATGTTTTTGCACTTATGAATGTCATAATGTGGAGTATACGTGTCGTTCTGAGTGGTTGTGTGTGTTATATATCTCTTGTACACTCAGAGCAAAGACGCTCAAGAGCCTGCCGTGTGGCCTTCGTTTTAGAATATAGCTTATTGATCATAAGACAGCAGCAAAACCCGCGATCAGTTCTTCTGATCATTTGTTCTAATAATATTCCGTTAATCGTTATGCAGTGCCACCATTCAAAAGAAGTGGCCATTTCAAGGCTATGAAAATGTCATAAATAAATAAAATAAAAAAGTGACTGTGAACGTAATGCTATAAAAACAGACCCTGTCAATAATGAGATGTGTTACCAAAAATCTCATTATTGATTTTATCCATTAGTTGTTGCAGCTCTCTCTTTCTCTCTCTCTGTGTGTGTGTGTGTGTGTGTGTGTGTGTGTGTGTGAGTGTGAGTGTGTGTGTGTGTGAGAGTGTGTGTGTGAGTGTGTGTGTGTGTGTGTGTGTGTGTGTGTGTGTGTGTGTGTGTGTGTGTGTGTGTGTGTGTGTGTGTGTGTGTGTGTGTGAGTGTGTGTGTGAGTGTGTGTGTGTGTGAGTGTGTGTGAGTGTGTGTGTGAGTGTGTGTG